ATATTTTTTGGAAAAGTTTTTTTTATGGGGGGGAAAAACCGCGTGAGGTTACCAAGGGGTCCCGATTATTAATTAAACTTACTTTAATCATGTTCCAGACAAAAAAAGACACCGTCTGGAATTGAACCTACAACAAAATATTGGAAATGCGAGAAGAAAAGACTAAACAAATAGCATAACACATTGAAAGACCCATTCGATTTCCTGTTGGTGAACATCTGCCTCTCGTCTTAAGCAGTTATAATGTTCTTTGGTTCTTTCGGTAAAGTCACGTGACTTTACCGAAAGAACCAAAGAATAATTCCTGCAGTCACGAAAGCTCCAAAATTAAGATGAGTTATAATGTGTCTGCTTTTGATAACAAAATGCGTCGTTTCAAGTTCGAATTCGCATGCAGTGGATTTTAATGCTGTTATATTTTGAAGACATCTGGCCAGTGTGGAAGAGTAGACCAAAAATAAAAAAAAAAACACCTACAGAGGAGGGTTCTCTAGCAAAGGCCCTACCAGTCAGCAGTGGCATGAGCATGCAACTGAAGGGCTTCACCGTTGCCAACACTTAGGCAGCTTTACTCACCCCCTCGAACCAACACCGGTGATTGAAATGTTTTTCTCTTCATTGTGAACGCAACGAATGACGTGTGTGGTGCATGTCATGTTTTTTTTTTATCGAACCAGTTTGTGTTTGATAATCGCCACCGTTTCTTAATTTGTTCGGAAAAATGTCCTCCTCGTGCACAGTGGGTGACTAATGACCAAATCTATAACACTATAAACTCTTTTTATTTTACCAGGTAAGGCCCACTGAGCTATAAAGTTATTTTGCAGAAGAGACCTGTTTGTAAATGATAGCTCAACAAAGTGGCTCATCACATGGAACTGTATATCAGCCAAATACTCCAAATGCATTTTTCTAAATATGAAGGGAAAAACCGGAGTACACAGAGAAAAAAATCCACGTGACCACGGAGAGAGAGAACACGCAAACTCCAACTATACAGGCGTCAAGGTCGGGATCAAACCCACGACCTCTTGTATACCAGGTGAGGTAGTTAACATCTCGACAACGTGGCACCCCTCACTCAGAATATGCCTGCTCTTGTCAGATCTATGAAGCTAAGCAGGTTTGAGCCTGACTAGTGGTTGACTGGGTGAGCACCATGCCTACCTAATAGGCTCTTGTGGGGATACATTGTAAGGCAGTTGAGGGCAGTGCCAGAAGATGCATTGTATGTTGAACTTCTTTCGCACCGTACGTAGCCAACCGTGCTAATCACAGGTTTCTTCTCCTGGAGAATCAGGGTATGCTACCTTAATGGCCATGGGAAGAGAGCTTCATAGCATTTTTGTGATCATACAACCCTCGCCTCCACAATCCTAGACATCAGATGTTCATCACCACCAGATTGGCGTGCCCAACACCACGCAATGCCATATTCGCTTGGTTATCTGCTTTGTTATCACTATTATGTATCTGACAAGAGCAAAATACATCTATGATCCTACATATATGCTCCCGTCGTTCACCAGCCTGCAATGATCAATTCCGTGGGCCTCACGGCATTGGGAGGCCCTCATCTAGCAGTGGATTGACAAAAAGGGCTGTGCATGCTCATTTACGAAGTTTGGTGGGCAGCTGAAGACAGCGTTGTGCGTGTAGTGATTATTTTAGAACGTCAAACAGCTGAGTGGCAACAGAGAAATTAAATCGTTGTCACGGTGATATAGTGCCCAGCTATGATATTGCATTCCTTTTAATGGCAGGATTGTAATAGATATATTTAAAAATTCAATTATGTTACAGTAAAAATGACCAGAAAAACTGATTTAATGCCACAATGTAATGGAATTTGTTTTATACCGTGTGATATTTTATACAGTACATTTACATTACTTCTTACTAATGTGCTGAACTATCACATCCTATTATAATATTTAAGTGTGTGCCTATAATAGCAAATGATGGAACTTCATTGGCAACGGTGAAACAAAATACATCTGAGATGATGAATTAATAATCATCGAATTCTCTGGCGAGCAATTAATATACAATCTAAAAAATACACATCAAACAACGATTTGAAAGTGCATCATACATATTCGATACCACGCGCACACCCAGCGAACTTTCATTGCTCGTTGAACGATGTGCGAGCGGCGCATTGTGGAGTTGGATCAACATGTCATCGGCGGGAGTTGCTATTTTAAAAATCAAGTTTATAAATGTAATGTGAATGAGCACTGTGGGTTGTGCGCTGGGACAAGGCAATGCAAGTCCCATGCGGCGGTGGAAGACACAATCTGCTGCATGCCTCTGAGATTCACAGTGATGCCGACGTCAATTTCCAGGTGTGCGACTTAACCCTTATCAACGGTTTAGTCTAAAAGCTGCGTCCCCCAAAAATATTGCGCTTTATATATTTGACATGAATACAGTGGTACCCTGGAGATCGAACTTAATTCGTTCCAGAAGGCCATTCGAACACAGATTTGTTCGAACACCGAATTAATTGTCCCTATAAGAATGAATGTAAATGACATTAATTGGTTCCAGACATAAGACATCTCTCATTATAAAGCATTTTTACACGAAGTTTATAGTAATTACATGCATAAAATCATACACAAAAACGAGAAACTAAATAAATAAATGGAATAAATAAATGGAATAAATGAATAAATATATGGAATAAATGAAATAAATGAACATTTAACTTCACTTTACCTGTAGTAAGGAGAGTTGTTGGCTTGAGTGAAAGGTGGTGAGGAGGTGGTGATGTTATTGTTTTTTGTCTGGGCAAGCGTCATGTACGCTGGCCATACGCGTCTCAGCCGTACAGGTTCTTTCAAATCGCGATTGCCCATTCGACCTCCGAATTTCGTTCGGTTTCCAGGGCAAAAAATGTTCGGAAATGTCGTCCGAAAACCAATTTGTTCGAGTTCTGGTGCGTTCGATCTCCGAGGTTCTACTGTATACCTCCTTTGAAATGTTTCACCAATTGCATCCCGATCGTGCCATCGGACTCATGTTACGAGATTAATGATCCTATTCGGATCTTTCACGCAGCAGTGCAGATCTTCGCGTGAGAAAATCAGGCCCGCAGAAGTGGATATCACAGAGCTGTCTCGTAGATCCCCACGAGTGATCTCTCGTCCACATAAACAGTACAGGGACATTAATTCTAGATTTGAAGCTTTTGTGACTGCAAGGATTCATATTCTTAGGTTTTTTCGGTAAAGTCACGTAGGTAAAAATTTTAAATTAAGCACAGGAACAGCACGATCTCAGCCCCCACTCTGCCACTGAGACTCGCAGAGTTGGGATTTACACACATTAAATGCAGAAACGAATTTAAAGTGATGGTATTTGTGTACTCATTGGTGACCAGGTTTAAACCATCAGCTCCCGACACTTAAATCATAGGCAGCTGCCTGGATTTAACTCAGAATCTCAGCAGTGCCAGCAAGATCAGAACTCTAACATCTGAGTTATCCGTCCACCTCAATGTTGTGCTTTCTCCAAAAATTGTACAATTCCCAAAACACAAGTTCACAACTTCAAAGTGAAGTTAAAATCTATGCTTTGTCTCCACTCTGACAGTATACGAAGTATCGTATATATTATTTAGTTCTAAAGTGGTGGTTGTTAATCACGTCGAGTCAAAGAGTCAGAGCAACTGTTTGGGAATTATTTTAAAGTTGGTGGTAGTAAGTGAGAATGGGGGACCATGTTGAAAATCTATGGGGTTGGCCATACCGACTGTGGATAGGGCAGAGGATATATGGCTTTGCTCCCCGTCCCGAAAAATGTATGCTATACACTCATAACATGGGATCTTCTTTTACATTATTAAAGTATGAAAAATAAAAATAGGCGTTAAGATCTTCAAACAACAAGGAATCAAGTCTGCATCAACGGCACGTACTTGTAGTGAACATGCACACAAACATGCTCCGTTAATATATGCATTGTCTTTGAAACTGATTGACCTACACCCGAGACACACTTCTTTATGGCCTAGTCTCACCAGTGTTGGACCTGAGAACGCCAAAAGGTGAAAACTACAAGAACAATGCACGTATCGGAGCATTCATATCTCGGCGTGAGCAGCCATATCATGGGACCTTTTTTGCCAGAGAGGGTAAAACTTATTATTATTTTTCATACTCTATACTCATGTTTAAAATTATCACTTTCCTCCTGGAATGTGGCTGCCCAACGTCGGTAGGGATCGATAAGATTCACCACCAAATCAGTTCTCTTTCAGAAAATTTGAATTGTAAATGTTGTGGGTTTAAACTCCAAAACACAGGTGTGCTGAACGGATAACTCTTTGGCATGTTTGTTTACGTGACAAACCTTACTTATTGGCTGTGTCAGGGTGGTGGTGGGTCTAACCACACATTTATAAGTGTGTTATCTAACCTAAAAAACCTCTATTATGAAAGTTATACCCGTGCACGAATACTTGCACTGGGTATGGGGCAGTGAATTAGTTTGGGGTGCATATGCGATGTACCATTAAGTTAAATTAATACTATTAAAACTATGCTATTTGTATTTTACCAGGTAAGGCCCACTAAACTATACAGCTATGTTTTTCAGCGACCTGGTTACAATTGATATCTCAACGAAGTGGCTTTTCCTGTGGAGATTCATAGCAGCCGAAAACTCTTAACGCACGTTGATTTTATAAATGTGTAGGGGAAAAACCGGAGGACCTGGAGAAAAATCCACGTGACCACGGGGAGAGAGACATGCAAACTCCAAATATACAGCAGGCGTCATAGTTGGGATCGAACCCACGATCTCCTGTATACCAGGCGAGGTAGTTAACACCTTGCCACCGTGGCGCCAATTCAAGTGATTGGCTTGTACCACGGTTACGTGATCGGGGTGCATGAACCCCATTGGTCAATGCATATTCGAACGTCTCTTGAGATCGACAGTTGCGCAAGAATCAAAACTGTTTCCAGGGATGAGAGGGCGGCAGCACTGACCCCGTTTGGAAATGCGTCGCGGGTGAACATGGGCCACGTCTTCCATTGCGTGCTGTGCCGGTAGTTCTGGTGGACATGCTCGCCCAAGCCGTAGATCGAAGGGCTGGGCAGAATGGTCGATATTTGCAGGAACTGGTCGGAAAACCGCATGGGGTTCACAGAGCTGTCAAACCTGCGCGTGCACAAGAAAGAGAACAACAACATGCTATGTCGGTTTAAGAGGTAAACAACAGCAACAACAACAGCCGCCATTCGCCACAAATTGGCGGTGACGTCACCAGGGTGCCTGTGCCAGGCCACGTGAACGTTGAGGCCACGGGAAGTGTTGACGGCTCGCTGACAGAGGCGGTCACGGGACAGACCCAGGTGCCATGCATGAGTTGAATGTCTGAGATTACTGGAATAAGTAAATGCTCATACACACGTTAGACAATACTCAGGTCATTGTTGTGCTGGCTGATGCAATGCACAAGGGAGTGGAGTGGACACGACCGTGCCTGACCTACCACCTTTGTGTCCCCATTGCTAAGCTAATGTTCCCACACTACACCAGGTGCTCGTTTAACACTGCGTTAATCCAGGGGAGTTTTGATGCCACTTGCAATTGTCGTTAGCCATGGGTGAGAATGATCCTCGAGCCTTCGGGTTCATTACGGAATGCACCGGACACTGCACCACTGCTCCCCACACACACATACAAACACAAACAAAAACAAGGATCCTTCCGTTTAAAGCTTTCGTGACTGCAGGGATTCATCTTCTTGGTTCTTTCGGTAAAGTCACGTAGAAGGGAAATAATAAAATAATAAAAATAAAACATAATAAAATAATTCTCACGACGTTTCGGCCACAACGGCTGCTTGTGTTGTGGCCGAAACGTCGTGAGAATTATTTTACGTTTAATTTTTATTATTTTATTATTTCCCTTTTACGTGAATTTACCGAAAGAACCAAGAAGAAGGATCCATCTGTTTGTGTTATAGACTCTAGCAAAGGTGCTGTTTGTGAGCACTAAGTAGGGCTGGCCTCGTACATAAGGTGCTATACATGGCAATGGTTTCACACAGCACTCGATTCTCATTTATGAAATGAGCTGGTGGAGGGCTATGCCAGGATGAGGCACCAGCCCTTGCTATTCTTCGTCCACGGACAGCAGTCAAACCCGGGTGACTGGTTTTATTGCGGTGTGCCAACCACCTTCAGCACTGTGCCTCACCATACCACATTGGTCACACACGCTTGGAATGACGGGTCCTCAGTTTAGCCTCATAATTGCTTCACACGTCAGTGAAGAGCTATACAGGCTGCCGTTGCATATAGGGATGTAGTGTGTATGTTCACAGGCATCCGAGGCATGTAGCAGCAATTAAAATGAATTGTTATGCTCTCGATACGGGTGTCGAATGATACACCTAAGAATATTTGGATATCTATTCAAAGTGTGATGCATTGTTTTTCCACCTTGGTGAATTGTAAGAACAAAAAAACGATATAACGACACTGCAGATGAGCCATTAGCAGACGCAACTTTAACCTGACGGCATATTCAGACATTAAAAAATTTAACCCGTAAAAACAAAGTTTTTCACTCTAAATCCTTTATATGTGTGGCGGCTAGAGTCCTCTCGTCCTATAGCTTGAGATGGCTGCCACCTATTGGTCAGATGATTGTCTGCCAGCATTAAGCAATTGGTAATTAAATATTTTAAAAAAATCCCTAAACTGTGTAAAATTTTGGAAAAAAAATTCACGAAAATTAATTGTCACGCACAACGAGTCTGTGTGCAAAATGTCAGCTCGATTGGATCACAGGAAGTGGGTTAAAAAACGACCGAAAGATTTGCACGGTCGTAAGCAAGCAAGCACGCAAGCAAGCAAGCAAGCGAATTAAAAAATAGGATGGTATGGATGAGACGGTACAAATGAGATGGTCCAGACAGTGCATAAAACAAGAGTGAAATAAATCATCGATTCGTGAATATAATCGCCGAAGCGTCACAATTAAGCGAATCACAGGTAGTGTGAGTTTGCTCGATGCCCATTCACACCCAACCACGGTCGTATCTTCCTCCTGCTCCGCACATATCGAACCCATTTTCAGATTGTCGGTCAAGGGTAAACCCGGATGGTGTGTACTGGATATATTTTATCCAATTTTAACCCGATTTAATTTGACTCTTGCACCTGCCTGGTCACTGTGGTGGGTCTCTGATATTTGATTTTTTCTCTGCATAATTTTATACATTTTGGCATAAAACTACAATGTGGCATAACCCAATGAAAATTGCGGATCATTTGCCTGATGACGACCGCTTGTGTTGCGATCGAAACGTCGTGATTTGTTTAAGTTTTATTTCTAACTACGTGACTTTACCTAAAGAACCAAAGAGTACGGATCATCATTGTCTTTGGGTTAGGGAATTCCACATGTTGCATTCTTTGATGTACATTATTGTTCCTGTATAGCATCTAGAGAACTGCATATATTATCAACATTTTATATCAAATCTAATTATCACGCCTATGATTAATTCTGACACTTTTGGAAAACCACCACTCACACATCTCTCAAGTTCTTCTAAACAAGCTGCCCCTACATGTCACATAATAATCAACCTCACTCTCTAGTTTTCGTTCTGCCCTTAAAATTAACTTATTTCCCCTTGCTTACCATATTACCCTTCCTCCTCTCTTCCCCATCATTAACTCCATCCACATCTCCGATTTCCCGCACCTCCGATTAGCACGGTTGGCTATGTATGGTGCGAAAGAAGTTCAGCATACACACATAGACACATCCCTCTTCCCAACTTCCCTACCCATCCATCATACGCACTCAACATTAACCACGCATTGTCACTCTCATCATCGTTTATTCCACGCATCATCATCATCATATTCATCTGCTATCAACCTTCACATCAACTCCTCATCTCATCACACAATTTTGAATTACAAATAGTTAATTCTCTGTTCAGCGCCTTCGTCAAGGCGCTCTATAAATTAAAATAAGATGATAAAATCTTTTGAGGTGCTCCATTTCATGAGCATTTAGACAATATACATACATTTAAATTACTGTAATTGCAACGATACGCATGGCCGGAGATTGAAAATAAATGGGTACATAATAGCACTCCGAGCAGTGGTTACATGTGTTGGCAAAATAATCTGCAAGTTCTTCCGTGCACATGCCCACGTAGCATTCACGGGGGAGCGGCAGATTGAAGATCCTGGACGCATCTCCACACACGCTCCCCTGCTTATACAAAGACAAAGATCCCACCCAATAACCTTTAACAGACTGTTAGGGAAAGTGCTATTAGTAAGCACCTATGAAGACCGGAACGACACACGAGGGGGGGGGGGGGTGACCAGCACCACGCCCGGTTGCCTTTGTCTCCCCATGAGGCTGAGTCGACCTTGGGGATGCCCATGACCCGTTCAGATAATAGTCACTGATGTTGGCCATAATTGGGAATCAAACTCGGGTCGCCGGGTTCGTAGTGAAGTGCGCTAACCATTGCGTCACCGCTCCCCACTGCTTACACACGCACACACAGCACCACTCGATTACGTAATGAATTCTAAGGGAACATTCTGGTCTCTCAGCCGACCCCGATTGTAGTATCTGTCCTAGCGCCTGCATGCACTGATCGTCATCGTCGTCATCACCACCACCACCTCTGGATGAGCTGATTTTTCCACGTGTCAATGTCTTGCGATGCAACAGGCTGCCAAGCTCCTGCAAATTAACTGATTTCATTGCGCCATCTCTGCCAGTCGATGTCCCTCTCGGTCATAGTCGTGAATAGTGCGTTTAAAGTTTGCAGGGACTGCTTAATAAGCTAACGGAGAACAATGCAACGAACAATACGAATCCTATTGCCTGCATACAAATGGGTCGTATGTTGAAATTCTTTCGCACCGTACGCAGCCAACCGTGCAAATCCGAGGTGCGGGGGAAAGACGACGAACTAAACACAAAAAACACTTCTAAAGAAATTCGTTGTCAAGGGTCCTGTTCCCTGCACGAATCATATTCCCTGCGCATACTTGGAACCTACTGCATCTCCGTAGATTGGACTTGATTCCATGCGCACACACGTGAACAGTGAGTGTTTGTTGATCGTGCGTGGGCAACGTGTGTACACAATATGCGGACAGCAGAGACGTGCTCCCGATTTTTTTTGGAGAGAACAATTTTGAATTTTGAATGATCCAAACTGAAAACACAAATATGCTGTTGTATTTATCCGAAAAATGGTGATTTCACGTGAAGCGGCGACACTGCGATCGCATCCTTGGCATTGCTTGTCCTGCCAAAAGCGGTGTCACCCACCCAGTGTCCCGCGACATTGGGTGAGCCAAGTCTAAATGTTATCACGGAAACACATTTAATAATCAAATAAATATTCCAAGATCAGAAAAGCGATCCGAAATTGCCCTGAAAATCCGAAAATCCTGACTTTATTTTTTAATATTTTAATCCTTACTCATCCCTCGTCGGTAGTACAGCATTTGAATTAGACCGGGCGTTTTTTTTTTCACATCTTACCTTGCGCATAACCCCCCCCCCCCCCTCCACTCCATCACAGGGCGCTAACATGCGGAGCCGCACATGCATGACGGACGGCGCAGAGCACATGGGCTTTCTGGCACGCAGGGTGTGGCGTGAATGTCACGCACCGCTTCTCACTGTCAATGGGGTTTGTGTTTCAAACCGCGGTGCCAGGGGGAAGGAATCCTAATCATGCGCTGCACGCTCAACCCTCCTCCCCCTCCAGGATACACCCTCCTTCTCCTCCCACATTCTGTGATTCCTCCTCTCCCCTCCTCCTCCTCCTCCTACAATCTGTGAATCTTACATCGCCAGATTCCCTCCATGGCAGAAAAGCACCACATCCATTTCACGACGGCACCGCCCCCCTAAACGATTTTAATTTCCCACCCCCCCCCCAAGTCGGAGACTTTCGCCGTTTCTAGACGGCAGCCCATCTGCATCGTGATTCTCCATCATCGTCGTCGACATCATCGTCGTCGTCATCGTCGTGTCAACAATACGGGGGACCGAGATTACGCACGCTCGCAAATTGCAGGCACGCTGAATCACAAACGCACGCACAATCTGTCTCTTTAAATATTCTTAGGTTTTTTTTGGTAAAGTCACGT